CGACAATATAAAAAATGAAGTACAAACACGTACGTACAAGCGGCATTATTTATTGACAGCAGACAATAAATGGGATTAGATTTTCGTTTTATGCATTCAGCAGGAATTATCCTTACAACTTCAGCTGATTCAATGGAAAGGGGATAAGTTCCTACAAAGCATGGTGCAAATTGTTTTTACAAAAAAAACTCTTCCTACAGCCCAGAGCTCAGAGCAATCCTTATTGGACCAACAATCTATGTTATTTCTTGCACTGTAAATATAAATAGCCATTTATATTTTTTGTGAATTCAGAAACATACCCAACCCTTTTTGGAAGCAATTTACTGAGTTGGTTAGAGCCAGCTCCTTCAGAAGACTTTCATTGAGGTCCAACATCTTTCCTCCAGATGCAATGAGTACCATAGGGGTTTATTTACTAAAGCTGGTTCACTCAGAATCTTGTGTACTTCTGCATGGAAACCAATCAGCTTCCAGGTTTTATTGCTAAAGCTTAATTTTGCAAGCTGAGGTTAGAAGCTGATTGGCTGCCATGCACAGGTGCACGAGATTCTGAGTGAAACAGCTTTAGTAAATCTCCCCCTTAGTGTCTGCCACAAAAAAACCCGGTGCGGCGTGGCAAGGTGTTGTTGGGCAGAGTGTAACCGGGCTTTTTCGTGGCATTGGCGCAGTAAATGCTTCTGTTAAGCAACTCGATCATGCAGCTCATTTTTGTTCAAGTATCATCAAATTGTGCTCCTTGAAACAACCACACCGTCTATTTCCAGAGCAGCCTTTATTTCTCTTGAGGTTACCCATGGGTTTTTCTTTGTATCCCAAACAATTCAGGCAGTTGTGGCTGCAATCTTTCTTGGTCTACCTGACCTTGGCTTGATATCAGAGATCCCTGAATGTTCCGCTTCTTAATAGGTGATTGAACAGGGCTGATTGGCATATTCAAGGCTTTGGATATCTTTTTATATCCATCTTTATAACGTTCCATGACCTTGTTACGCAGGTCTTTTGACAGTTGTTTTCTTCTCCCCATGGCTCAGTATCTAGCCTGCTCAGCGCATCCATATGAGAGCTAACAAACTCATTGACTATTTATACACTGACACTAATTGCAATTTAAAAAGCCACAGATGTGGGAAATTAACTTTAATTACCATTTTAACCCGTGTGTGTCACCTTGTGTGTCTGTACCAAGGCCGGACATTCCAGGGGATGGAAACTTTGGATCATGGCCTTTTGGGTGATTTCTGATATCATTATGAATTAAAAAAGAGCCAAACAACTATGTGATAATAAATGACTTCATATGATCACTACCCTTAAATAAAAGACAGTTTTTTGGCATGATCTGTCATATTTTCAATGTCATTGCCACAATTTCATAATTTCTGCCAGGGTGTGCAAACTTTTGAGCACAACTGTATGTATTTATACAAGGTGATTATATGCCCCCTAAATTGCCTGTTCTGAAGGGTATTAACCCAGTTCCACTAACCTTCCCATAGTAAGGTCTTCCATTTCCCTTAATATTTAGTTCTCTCTTTCTATAGTTCAGCAGCAGAAGAGGTCTCATTGACCTCTGTAGGAAGCACATACATAGAATGGGGCAACAGTGTCAAGAAACGAGGGGAGCTGTCCCATTGCTGGTGATCATATAGTGAGCTACCTGACAACTAGATGGACGTTCCAGTACACCAAAGTAAAGAATGGGTAGAAGAACCATAAGTTTTATATGGCAACTAGGTTTGTGTGTTCCTCAACCACACACAATAAATAATAATATTGTTTTTTTTTTTTTTTCTATATATTTTAGGTTCCATTTTTGGATTTGCAGTTTCTGGTAGGTGCTCTATTATTGTTATTATTATACAGGATTTATATAGCGTGAACAGTTTGCTCAGCGCTTTACAATATAACGGGAGACAATACAGCAACAATACAGTTCAATACAAGAGGGTTAGGAGGGCCCTGCTCCTTGGAGCTTACAATCTAGGAGGGAGGAGCTAGTGGTACAAAAGGTAGTAACTGTGGGGGATGGACTGGTAAAAGGAATAGAAGATTCTGTTATTAGCTGAAGGCAGAATAGGCTTCCCTGAAGAGATAGGTTTTCAGAGATCGCCTAAAAGTGAGCAGAGTAGGCGATAGCCTGATAGATTGAGGTACAGAGTTCCAGAGGATGGGGGAGGCTCTGGAGAAGTCCTGGAGACGAGCATGGGAGGAGGAGACAAGGGAGCTAGAGAGCAGGAGGTCATGGGAGGAGCAGAGAGGACGGTTTGGATGATATTTGGAGACAAGATTGGTGATATAATTTGGGGCAGAGTTATAAATGGCTTTATATGTGATTGTTAATGTTTTGAATTTTATTCATTGGGCAATGGGAAGCCAGTGGAGGGATTGGCAGAGAGGGATGGAGAACACTGAATGGAGGCCAGTGGAGGGATTGGCAGAGAGGGGTGGCGGATACGGAACGGTTAGTGAGGTGGATGAATCTGGCAGCCGTATTCATGATAGACTGAAGAGGGGATAGCCTGCGATGAGGTCGGTCAATGAGGAGGGAGTTACAATAGTCAAGGCGAGAGATAACCAGGGAGTGAATAAGTTGCTTAGTGGTTTCCGAGGTTAAGAACGGGCGTATCTTGGAGATGTTCCGAAGTTTGGGGATGTTGTGGAGGTGAAGTCTACAAGATTTGGACAGTGATTGGACCTGGGGCTGAAAGGACAGATGGGAGTCTAGGATTACACCTTGTACCCTGGCATGAGGGGAGGGACTGATGGTTGTGTTATTGATCTTGATGGAGAAGTCGGGGGGGGGGGGCATGGGCTGGAGGGAATACTAAGAGCTCAGTTTTAGAAAGATTTAGTTTGAGGAAGTGGAGTGACATCCATGCCGATATGTCACTTAGTAGGTTAGTAATGCGAGAGGAGACTGAAGGAGTGAGGTGAGCTCCACCAACTAAACAGTTGTACAAAGTCAATTGGATCACATAATAGCTGCCAAGGCTGGGACAAGGGGTGGGTAAGAGGGACAGCTGCCTTTGGCTCAGCAGAGCAAGGGAGGCAGAGAATGAACACAGGGTAGGACATCCATTCTACAACATGCATTAATAGTTGGGGGGGGGGGCAGTTCTGCATCCTTGCACTGGGTGCTGGGTGGACCTCTCCCGGTACTGACAGCTGCCCTGGTAGAGTACAAATAGACTGAGAGCATAGCTTAGCTTGAGGTTATCCTAACCTCTTTAACCCCTTCACGCCGGTGCCTCCCGGCCCTTTAAGAGTTCCAGATGCTGGGAGGCGGGGCACGGTTTAACGACATGTGACCGCCATGACGTGCCGTCACGGTGGTCACATGATCGGGAAAGGTCCCGATCGACAGAGGAGATCGGGACCTTTCCGTGAGTACCGGACATGCGTGCTGGGAGCGCGCAGGGCGCGCGCTCTCTCGGCACATATGTCCTTTTTTAATAGAATGCAAATATGCGGCCGCCTGCGTCTAGGCCCAGACGCCGGGAGGCAGCACATTTGTGTGCGGCCGGCGTGAAGAGGTTAGAGATTGTTTTTGCAGCTTGTCTATCTTTCATATGGTCAATAGGACCATTATATACTACTGTATATATTTTATTTGGAATAGTATATATTTTAATATCCAGCTAACAGTTGAAAATTTAGGCTCGTTTTCACAATATTTTCCTGCTGTGCTTACCTCCTAATGAAAATCCTGATAACAGAGCTCAATAGCTTAAGTTGCAGTTTACACATGTATGAAACCAAGTCAGAGTCCCCCCTCCCTCCTTCTTCAGGCTCATTTCACACTAGTGTGACTCCACAAGGAAGTCGCATCAAAGCAGTGCAAGAAGCTTTCTAAGTCGCCTAGATTGGAATGAGTACCATTGAAATGCATGGGCTGTGACTTATTGTACGATTTTATGTGTCCAAAGTCACATGACAAGTCGTACAAGTGTGGAAGGAGCTTCAATGCAGCATCATCTGAGGTTACAATCAGACAGGGTAGCCTGGAAACTAAGATGCACCTGGCATGCTCTTTTTTTTGGTAAACTCATAGTGCTCTAGGACACCTTTGTCCCAGGCTTTGTCCCAGGCTTTAAAAAAAAGTTAAAAACAATAAACTAAAGTATCAAGCAGCTGTTAAAGAATGCAGCAATACCGACCCTCTCTCCAGTGCTGGGCCCCACAGAAGCTACACTTAGTCCTCTTCCTGCCACGACTGTTCAGCCCACTTCCTGGGAATATAGAACATCATAGATCCAACCCTCTGGGGTGCGTTTTCATGACTTTTTGGACTGAATGTACTATTGCACAAAATGTCAAACTACAAAAAATATTTTAAAAAATTATAAAATGAACCTTCAATAATTACAGATTGTTTTTTGAAAGTACAGTGACAGGGGAAACACAAAACTAAATACAAGGGGAGCTGTAATCGTTTGTCAATCATAGCAACAAGATGCCACCAGGGCAACACATCATGGGTACCTGATGATATAATCCCCCCAACCCTCAGCCCTCTAACAGAAAAAGAAAGACCCAGGTCACTGTTCAATAATTTCCAAATAAATGTGAAAGAAAAGCTACATGTCTATGTGCCTACAAAGTATGGTTCCTACTAAAATCAGAATACTAACGCCGGTATAAACACAGGCATTAATAAACTGAGAGAGGTCTGGCTAAGAAGTTACTCTCGGGTACGGTAGTCTCTTTGACCCAACTTACATTCACTCAGTGACAGGGACGGACTGACAACTCATGGGGCTCCCCGAGCAATAGGGGATCATGGGGCCCCTGTGTCCTTGCCCAAACTCAAAAAAGCCTATGAAAAAAGGTACCAGGGGCACCTCATGGGTCCCCTACTGACCCCGGGCCCTTGGGCAGTGCCCGAGTTTCCAAATGGTCAGTCCGCCCCTGCTCAGTGACACTGTGTGCCTACACAACCTATTAATTCTGCAAGTGGTTGGGTCATTTTAAACTAAACTAAAATTGAAAAGTTTGACATGCCAAACTCTCATTTCTTGGTAATTTCAGAAGAGTCACTGAAGATCAGATTGGTGGATGGACCCCACCGCTGCAGTGGGAGGTTGGAGGTTCACCACGATGGTGAATGGAGCTCAGTGTGTAGCCACAAGTGGCATGGTTTGGACTCCAACGTGGTATGTAGAGAGCTGAAGTGTGGATCCCTCATGAGAGGCAAGCCATGTGGATTCTTGAAGAAAGGAAGAGGCCGAATCTGGAAGAATACGGTGAAGTGTACTGGAGATGAAGAGGCCCTGTCTGAATGCCAAACCAAACCCATTAAACCACATCATTGTCACCACAGGGAGGATATCTGGGTCACTTGCAGAGGTACAGGGTCATTTGTTGTCTTATCATTGGTTGTCAGTTGACTTCAGCAAGAGAACCATTCCTGACTGGTATCTTAAATTATTAATGAATATTGTGTTGGTGAACGGTTTATATTTCCCCCCCCTTTCTTAGTTAGATTTAAAGCCTGACTTCAGCCAAAATGTTTTGTTTTGTTTTAGCTAGAGAATAGTTAGAGTCTCTGTGACATTTTTAGTGCTCTGTCCACAGGCAGTGCATGTTCTGTACTCTCTCCATGCCCCCCTCCCAGTTGGGTGCAAAGCCAGAGGAGAGGCCTACCCTGGGGTGAGGTCTTGTGAGCTACACTAGGCACCTTGTAGTTAGAATAGTTAGAGTCTCTGTGAGATTTTTAGTGTTCTGTCCACAGGCAGTGCATGTTCTGTTCTCTCTCCATGCTCCCCTCCCAGTTGGGTGCCAAGGAAGAGGAGAGGCCTACCCTGGGGTGAGGTCCTGTGAGCTGCACTAGGCACCTTGTAGAGGGTCTCTCTCTACTTCACACACATGGGGTACCTCTGCTTAGTGCTGTTTTCACCAATGCCCTGGGACAAGGCTGAGGTTGCCGCCAGGGAATACTCAACCCTAATGCAGGCTTCTACTTTTAGAGATGAACGTACACCATGTACACTTGCACAACAGCTGTTCTCCAGCTAACTCTCGGGTCCCCATGTAAATGTACATCTTCCCATTGTAACTTGTAATTAGGTGGGCCATGCCAAACACTGACCACAGCTAAGTGTCCAGCGTTTTCCACTACCGTCCTGGTAGCGGCATGGAACCCCGCTGTGCGCATTCTCCAACGTGAGCTTGACTCCAACTCTTGAACTTCCATACCTCTGTACAGGATGAGGACCTCTACAGTGCAGCGCAGTTCCATTTGCTATGGGAAACGGAGAGCGGGTAGGCAGTGCCAAGAACATCTCCCTCGTGGCTAGAGGCAATTCCATCTATATCAGGCACACTCTTGGACAGGCTGCTTGCTGACTGTACCTTCGTTGCTTGTGGTAACAGCATGTGTAACTAGCACTAGAATGACTCTTAACATGCTGACTCTTCATACCTCATGTGCTGATGACCCAAGCTGTAGACTAAGTACAAAGTTGTGCCGCTTACTTGCATTACACCCGTTTTGAGTAACTTCAGACCAGGCGGGTGGCAAAGTTTTAACTCTTTACTTAACAGGTTCAGTGGTACAAAGTCCAACACAACAGACATACAAAGTTCCAAAGATTCCAGATAACAGTCAATTCCCTAAGGCCCTAGTCCCTAAACCTTACCAGGCTATGTGCTGTCCCGGCATACCTGCAGAGGTTAGTCCATGTAGTTTTGGCACCCAACAGAGGCACGTTCCAGAAGCTGGTGTCTTCAGGACGAACCTCAAGACTTCATGACTTCTAGGCTGGCTGACTTATTCTTACACCTTACCCAGGGGTTCTGGGAGAAGGCCGAGGCCGGGGATGTAAAGTATATTGGAAACAAACTGGACCCCATCGGTCGTCTTTCACTGCGGACTTTCTTGACCCATCCCACTGTCCCATTTTATATTTACAGGTGCAATGGGTCAGACCCAAAGGTCCCGCCAAAAGCCAAAGAACTGGGAAAAGTTCATTAACCCCTACCCTTCCGTCCGGGACAGCACCTAATTAACTAGCTGCAACCTGTCCACATGTGTATGTGCTCAGGCTGTGTATGTTCCTTGTGTTCTCTGTATGTGTGTGTGCTCAGGCTGTGTATGTTCCGTGTATTCTCTGTATGTGTGTGAGATCAGGCTGTGTATGTTCCGTGTGTTCTCTGAATGTGTGTGAGCTCAGGCTGTGTATATTCCGTGTGTTCTCTGTATGTGTATGTGTCAGGCTGTGTATGTTCTGTGTGTTCTTTGTATCTGCTCAGGCTATGTATGTTCCATGTGTTCTCTGTATGTGCGTGTGCTCAGGCTGTGTATGTTCCGTGTCTTCTTTGTATGTGCTCAGGCTGTGTATATTCCATATGTTCTCTGTATGTGTGTGTGCTCAGGCTGTGTATGTTTTGTGTGTTCTCTGTATGTGTGTGTGCTCAGGCTGTGTATGTTTTGTGTGTTCTCTGTATGTGTGTGTGATCAGGCTGTGTATGTTCCGTGTCTTCTTTGTATGTGCTCAGGCTCTGTATATTCCGTGTGTTCTCTGTATGTGTGTGTGCTCAGGCTGTGTATGTTTCGTGTGTTCTCTGTGTGTGTGTGTGTGCTCAGGCTGTGTATGTTTCGTGTGTTCTCTATATGTGTATGTGTCAGGCTGTGTATGTTCCGTGTGTTCTTTGTATCTGCTCAGGCTGTGTAAGTTCCATGTGTTCTCTGTATATGCGTGGGCTCAGACTGTGTATGTTTCATGTCTTCTCTGTATGTGTATGTGCTTAGGCTGTGTATGTTTCATGTCTTCTCTGTATGTGTATGTGCTCAGGCTGTGTATGTTCCATGTCTTCTCTGTATCTGTATGTGCTCAGGCTGTGTATGTTCCATGTGTTCTCTGTATGTGTGTGCGCTCAGGCTGTGTATATTCTGTGTGTTCTCTGTATGTGTGTGTGCTCAAGCTGTGTATGTTCCGTGTGTTCTCTGTATGTGCTCAGGCTGTGTATGTTCCATGTGTTCTCTGTATGTGTGTGTGCTCAGGCTGTGTATATTCTGTGTGTTCTCTGTATGTGTGTGTGCTCAGGCTGTGTATGTTCCGTGTGTTCTCTGTATGTGTGTGTGCTCAGGCTGTGTATGTTCTGTGTGTTCTCTGTATGTGTGTGTGCTCAGGCTGTGTGTGTTCCATGTGTTCTCTGTATGTGTGTGTGCTCAGGCTGTGTATATTCTGTGTGTTCTCTGTATGTGTGTGTGCTCAGGCTGTGTATGTTCTGTGTGTTCTCTGTATGTTCTCAGGCTGTGTATGTTCTGTGTGTTCTCTGTATGTGTGTGTGCTCAGACTGTGTATGTTCCGTGTGTTCTCTGTATGTGTGTGTGCTCAGGCTGTGTATGTTCCATGTGTTCTCTGTATGTATGTATGCTTAGGATGTGGAAGTTCGGTGTGTTCTCTGTATGTGTATGTGCTCAAGCTGTGTATGTTCCGTGTCTTCTCTGTATGTGCATGTAGTCAGGGTGTGTATGTTCCGTGTGTTCTTTGTATGTGTGTGTGCTGAGGCGGTGTATGTTCCATGTATTTTCTGTATAGGTATGTGCTCAGGCTGTCCTCTGGGACCTGTGAAATGTCCCAGAGGGCTGCAGGGGGAAGGAGGGGGGCCGAACTGTCAAAACCAGGTATTCGCTCCCCCCAAAAAGGTGCCAAATATGGCAGAGGAGGGGGGAGGAGGAGGCAGATAAGCGTAGCTTCCACTTTTGGGTGGAACTCGGCTTTAATGTGACTTAAACTCTGGTTTTAAAAAAATCTATTCCAGTATGTGATTTTAACTCAGAAAAGTCCCTTCTATTGCTCTCTTCCTCCTCCAAATCTCTAAATCCCTTTTTTGCTGCTGAGGTCTGACCTCCTGATAGAGGGTGGCTACGTTTGTTCTCCATGGTCCCACTCCATGTAGGCGCATAGCCTCCCTCCCTTGCTTGCTCCTATACTGCACTACGGACTATGGGAGGTGTACTGCACATAGAGCAGTGCATGTGACCACAACTAATGTACCTTACTCATTCCAAACATACTCAGGGGGACATCGAGAGGTTCAAGAGCTCACAGGGGACATTACAAGGGGGCAGAAAAGCACATGGATAAACAATTTTAGGAAAAATAGATTACAGGGCCATGACTTAATGGATGTGTATGGATTATATTTTAGAGAATAAGGCTGTGGTGTAGTGTCACTTTAGGGTCCACTTACACCAGTTGCTTTGGGCATCCTTGCCCAGCACAGTCCCAAAGTAAGACAGAGCAATTTGCCTCATTTACAATTGACTCAGTTCACACCACTGTGACCATAATATATATCCATCTTCATTCAGAACCATTCCAGGTCAAACTGGTTGATGGGCCGGACAGATGTACAGGGAGACTGGAGGTCTACCATGATGGCCAATGGGGCAGTGTCTGTGATGACCTCTGGGATGACAAGGATGCCAATGTCACCTGCAATCAGATTAAGTGTGGCTCTTGCCGGCCATATATTCGGGGCAGGAAGCGGTTTGGCCAAGCAAAAGGAACAATTTGGCTGGATGATGTTGAATGTACTGGAAATGAGATATCATTGGATAAATGCAGGCACCGTGTTTGGTCATACAACGACTGCAGCCATGAGGAAGATGTCAGTGTATACTGCACAGGTACACAGCTCACCATCTTCATACCACCACTGTATATGTCTACTATGTACTTATCTGTCCTTCTTCCATTCCCTCCTTCCTTCCATCTTTTATCCATTTAATTTCTATACGTGGCCAGTGTGGAGCCCCCATTAGCTGTCAAAGGTGAAAGAGAGCTCCATGTGAACATAATGTCTCAGCTTTAGGTGTCACGTGGAGGAGAGTGGTGTTCAGGAGCAAAAAGGGTTCCGAGGGAATGCAATGTTGTGTTACCATTGTATCTGGCCCTTTATGAATGCCAGGAGTAGTGGTCGTGGTGTGGTGGAGGAAGGGTGGTGAGCCTTCCCATTACTCTTAGGGAATATCCTGCTTTGGGATTGATGGAACCTGATAGACAGCAATAGTTGGAGCAGAAGTGTGTGAACATCTCTCTAACTGCTCTACATGGGGATGGTGGGCATGTGTTGCCGCAACTTAAAGTAGAACTAAAGGTAAAAGTTTTGATCACTTTGAATGGAGCAATTTTTCTCAATCAGGGTGCCATCTGGGATCACCAGTGGTGCCACAGGCACGGTATCCAGTTTGCCCTTAGTCAGCATCATGAGTTGCCATGGAAAAGGCTGGCCAGCCACCAGCACTATAACAACCAATGATATTCCATGGCCAGGAAGCAAACCATCATTCATTACTATAGTGATGGCGGTCAGCAAACCCACACCATGGCAGTGCAAGATTCTGATCCAGGACCTCAGCATGCTTGCCTGCCCTCAGCATTCTGGCGAAGACATAAGTCCACTTCTTCCAGGCCTCCTCCATCTCCCGCTCTTTATTCACTGCCGAAAATCTGATGTAAAAAAGGGTACTGTGTGACTGGGGGGCTTTGTGATGGGGGACTGTTTGATTGGGGGGGTTATCTGATGTGAAGGGGGCTTCTGAAATAAACTGGAATATGCATTGAAAGATTTCCTGGAGGCCAGAAAGAGGTGCAGACTTGTTGATGATAAGTGAATCCAAGGACTTCTTAAGGACTCCCTCCAATCTCTCTCCTACCTCTGAGTGTGTACACTAATGTAAAGGAGATTCAGATGTAAGGTGTGGCCTGCGGAGGGGGCTTTGGTGAGCAGAGACCCCTGTACATCAGAGTTCCCCTTTACTCCAAAGTCCACAGCATTCCCCTCCCCTTAAATCAAGGTTCCCAGAGGACCCCTAACATCAGAGTTCCCCTTTAAATTACAGTCCACAGAGCTCCCCCTTACAGTGTAAGTGGAAATTCTGTGGACTCAGTGGGGGAACTCAGTGGACTCTGATGTAAGGGGGCTCTGGAAACCCTGAATAAAGAAGAATGCTGAGAACTCTGATGTAAGTGATGTAGGTGCAGCATCCCCCATTACATCAGAGCTGCCTCCTTACATCAGAATTCTCAGTGCTCCCCCTTAAATCAGGATTCCCAGAATATCTCTTACATTAGAGTCCCCCTTTGCATTGCAGTCCACAGAGCTCTCCTTATAGTGTAAGTGGAAATTCTGCAGACTTAGATGTAAGGGGGAACTGTGCGGACTCTGATGTAAGGGGGGTTCTGGAAAACCTGATTAAAGGGAAATGCTGGGAACTCTGATGTAAGTGATGTCCCCTCCTTACAACATAATTCTAAGTGCTCCCCCTTAAATAAGGGTTCCCAGAACATCCTTTACATCAAAGTCCCCAAAGTTCTCCTTTACATCAGAGTCTGCAGAGTCTCCCTTTATAGTGTAAAGGAACTCTGCAAGTCCAGATGTAAGGGGAAACTCTGCAGATTCAAAGGTAAAGGGGAACTCTGTGCATTTAGATATAAAGGCGAACTCTGTGGACTCTGATGTAAAGGGGGACTCTTGTGATTATATAAATATGATAAAATATATGATATTTAATCACAAAATATTTGTTTAGTGTATACTACAAAAAAAAAATTGCCATGCGCTTGCCAAAATGTTCAGGTTCGGCTTGAAGAAAAGGTGGCAACCCTGCCATGTGCCTGGCTGCTGATGCATCTACTGGGAAAGAACCTTGGGCCATTTAGGGGGTGAGTGCTACAGAGTGTTAGCAGCACAAAAGTAGCTTCACAGAGCCTAACCAGGACCAAAACATGGGCCAGGGGCCTGTTATGGAGATGCATTTCCTGGGTAATACTAGGTCATAGAAAGAGTTACTGGGAAAAGCCCCCAAAAATGGAAAGAATGGACTATCTCGGCACTCATTGACAACAAAATTGTACAAATTATATATTTTTATTAGTACAAAAAATAAAAGTTTTTTTTATCAAACAATACATGGATCCATTTTAAAAGCACATGAATTAAACAGCATATCTATCAAAGTGCATTATTCATAATTATTGTAGCTCCACCCCCTAAGAAGGTATAATTGTGGGAGATGATGTTGACTCCTCTACATGTTTCACAGATCTAATCCACTTCTTCAGGAGGAAAAGTCAAGAAATGCTCTGATCATAGTAACCAAAATACAGAATATAATAAAAAAAATGATATATGTATACATTATATAGTACATCTGGGCATGGGTGTATTTACCACAAGGCAAATAAGGCATTTGCCTAGGGCGGCATTTTGCAGGGGGCAGCACTGCCCCCCCGGAAAAAGGAAAGTAAGAAGGGACACATGCGGCACGGGGACCAGGTGGGATCAGAGAGAGGTTGTGGGCTGCTTGACGGTGTATGCAGAGCACGACTCTCTTTCCCGAGGATGTCCGGAGCTGTGAAGGTGAGTAACGGGGGGTGGGGTGGCCAGTGCATGGGGGGCGATGGTAGTGGAAAGCTCTTTCAGGTGGGGGGCAGGGGTGTTGGTCAATGTCAGCCACCCTGCGCAGGAAGGGGGGGTATGGTGTTGATTGGTGTCAGGCTCTTTCTGCGGAAGGGGGGGGGGATTGGGTGGCCAATTTTGGTGTTGCCTAGGGCAGCCCAAAACTTAAATACACCACTGCATCAGGGTCAATAAACAAGTTGCTTACCAATGTGGACTCATACCGACAGAGGGCCAAACAAGGGCACCAACATACCTCCCCCCACGGCGGACACGATGAAGGGCAAAATAATGGGCACAGTTACCAGGTACACCACCTATGTGACTAGAAAACATTAGGATGACCACATTAGGAAAGAGAAAAAAAAAACAATTAACCATAATGACCGTAAAACAAAATTCTAATAGTTAGGGCAGGAAGGAATTGGAGATATCAACAGATTAGTGTCGGGTCATAGCCCAGACCACAAAAAGACCACAGTGAAGAAGTTTGAGGCTTGTTACATAATAATACTAGGTCACAATAGATGAGCAACAGAGAGGATTCGTCAGAACCCATTGGAACTCAAAATGTATGTCCATAAAGAAATTCCACCTGAAATAGCCAACAAACTTCTCTATACGGCAGGTAACATAATAATGACAGAAATCTTTGTCAAAAGATAATGGACTGACAATGTGTTGCTAATGTGAAGGAAGTCCAAATTTTGTACCAGGGCTCCTCCGATCATAGCTATACCATCCTATATCCATCTACTGTATATAAGAAGTGCAGCGCTCGGTAATAAAAACAAATATATATATATTGGAATGGAGGTTAATCCCATACAAATGCACAAAAAGCAAAGAAATAGTCCAGGAAACTAATATGAAAATTAAAGTGCTCAGGTGACATGAGAGTCCGGTATCTGTGTGGTAGTGATAAAGTAATGCGCACTCACCGGACGCGCATATTAAATGCACTTTTGTGTATAAAAAACCCAGATGTCAGCTGATGGTGGATGGTCCTCCTCCTATTTGGTATGAGGCTGGTAGTCCACTTCCACTAGGGGTCCCCCTATGTGCTCCTGGTAGGTGGTATCCCTCTGGGTGAGCTGGGTTCCACTATGTAATAGTAATCCGTCCCAGGAACGTGTCTGTGAACTAAAGCACTCCCCTTTATCAGTAAGTAGCTCTAACTTGTAGATCCAATGGGTTTCATTTCGTGAAACCTCCCTTTTAAATTGGAACATGTGAGTTCTACTGTTTATTCCTGTAGTCTGATTAGTATTTGAAGTTGTCTGCTGTTGTTTCTCGCTTTTTTAGTACAGAGCCGAAGTGTAATACTTAATCCATGATGATAGTTGCCTGTGCTGCTCCTTATACACAAAAGCGCATTTAATATGCGCGCCCGGTGAGTGCGCATTACTTTATCACTACCACACAGATACCAGACTCTCATGTCACCTGAGCACTTTAATTTTCATATTATTTCCTGGACTATTTCTTTGCTTTTTGTGCATTTGTATGGGATCAACCTCCATTCCAATATATATATATTTGTTTTTATTACCGAGCACTGCACTTCTTATATACATTGTTGTTTTTAGAGTGATATTGGTACCTTTTTTGTGCATAGCAGCTTGTTACTTATATATATACTTAGGCGCTTGTACTACTTTCCGCATATATAGCCATATACTATTTATTTATTATTTTATTTCAGGTATTTATATATCACTATGCATAAAAAGGGGGGGGGTGCAGTGCTAAATTAATAAATACACATTCATATAAACCAATGTTAAGGTGCTGATAAAGTGCAAAAAGGTGACTATAAATAATGAGTATAGTCCATAACGTGATCAAAACCCAAGAGAGTCTTCAAAGAACTCCAATGGCTGGATTCGTGGATGCGGTGATAAAGGTATAAAGATTGCGCACTCACCAGATACGCAATCCAAATGCGCATTCAAAACAGAAATCCTAGGGTCCTCATATGGATCTGGTCAGATCTGGTCACAAAAGCCCCTCGCCACTTGATAGTGTTGCCACACATAGATGAAAAAAGGCCGCTCTGCAGACGTAAAAGGCTCCCACTTGATCCAGACAGAGAGTCCAAAAATTGTAGTAAAGTGGATCACTCTGACAGCCAGGCACTGCGCACATTTATATATCACTGTCAGTTTACACAGCACTTTACATATATATTGTACATTCACATCAGTCCCTAACCCTCAAGGGGTGTACAATCTAAGGTCCCTAACTCACATTCATACATACACATACTAGGGCCAATTTAGACAGGAGCCAATTCACCTACCAGCATATCTTTGGAGAGTGGGAGG